TTCCCTACATGTTCAGACTTGTGGGATTTTTTTCAACTGGAAATTTCTGAAATGCATTAGCATATACTAAAGTCTCCCGCAATTCATTGTTAAAACTACATTTTACAAGAATGACACCATTTTTCAAACTATTCGAATGCAAGCCTTTCCCTTCAACATACTTTCAGGAGCCATCATTTTTTAAGATTATTCTGTAATAGCACCACACTAATCTTGAATAATACAAAATGGTTCCTGCCAAATGCCCAAGGAGCCAAGAAGGGATTTAAGGCCCAGAAATCTCTCCTACAGAGTCTGCAATTCTGTGTATACTTCAGCTGAATGAATGTATAGCACTGAATAACCTTGCACAATCCTCACCAGTCTCTCTGATGTTTCACTATAAAGCAGATAGAAACACATATATACAGAAAAATCCATGCACTACAACCTAGCAGCTATGCCTGCTGTCTAGGGTCCATCACTTCACTACCCAGAACTTCAAAGGCCCTCCTATTTCACGTGGCTGCAAACTAGCACCGTCAACCTTCACACAAACTCAATTAACCGCCTCCATTAAAAGTATCCGCCTTCCAAGTCCCGGGGGACCTCCTCTTCCAGTACTGGATGCTCCTCTCTCGAGGGAACTATAAAGTCTCCACTCAGTTCATGGAGACTAAGTGCCTGGCACTGTACTCCAATTCTCAGAACCTCAGATGTTAGCAACCCCCAGATTCTTGCTAGAGACAGGTTTCTCAAATTGCGAACACTCTTCCCCAGCTCTGGGCCTTGGAAACATCTCTGCAACCGCCTTCACCCTGAGGCCACCAAAGTGGCCGATTCTGAGACTTCCTAACTGGATTCGCAGAAGTGTATCGAATACAGCGTCCCCCTTACAGGTGTGTCCTCACTGTAGTCCACTTTTGCTGGAAGACCACAGAGGGCCCTCCTTTCAACTTCGGGTGGAGGGAGTGTTCTCACTACCATTATCTCCGTATTACGGTGCACAGAGGTGTAGTTATAACCTCTATCCCGTTTGGGAACCCAGGAACTCTTCCGCATTCGAGATGTTGGTGTGTTTTCACTTCAGTCCCCGTGAGTTCGCAAGCCGCTGGGCCACCCAGCTCTGGCCGCTGCCGCCGCCTCCGCCTCCTCCTCCCTGTCTCAGAGCACGGGGGCGTCTTCACCATGGCCTCGTCCCATTTTCGGTACGCAGGCTCATCCTCTCAGGCAGTCTCGTCGCATTATCTCAGGCCTCAGAGCCTTAAGCGGTACCCCAGGCCCCCGCAACCCTGCCCCTACCCTTTGTGTGGGGCGCTCGCTACGGCGGGCTCAGAGGCCTCCGAAGGCCCCGCCCCAGGCCACCAAGGGG